AACACAATATGAGGATTCTGTGCCCAAGACCCCCCTGCTAGAGGCACTTTCCTGACTTGTGATTCCTCCTCCTGATACCAGAGAAGGCCCCTCTGTTCCCTGGACACCAAGAACTGCCCAGATGGCAGTGGATCAGAGCGACAACAAAGCACTTGAGATAGTGGCTGCCCAGATAACTTGCTCACTGAACCAGTAAGGGGGGCACAATGTTCTCTAGAGGGAACCATATAAACACAGCGGCCAGATGGTCCTGGTTCTGGAGCAAAAAGTGAGAGGAACAGAGAAAAGGCAGAGCAAGGGGGCCCTGGCCGGGCGGCTCAGTGGATTGGAGTGTCATCTCGAACACCGAAAGATTGTGGGTTCGAGTCCCAGTTCAGCGCACGGATGGGAGGCAACCGATTGATGTTTCTCTCTCATCAATGACTCTCTCTCTCAAAAAAAAAGGGGGGCGGGGCAGAGCGAAGGGGAGAGACCTATTGTGGGCACGAAGAGGCCCTTTCCAAAACTCACATTCGTGCTGCTTCATTTCAGCGGCAGAGGAATCAGGGTCAGTCAGATCGTCAGCGTCGAGAGAAGGCTAAGCAGCAGAGCAGAAAGCAGGGACTAAATACCACTTCATGGCTGAGGTGAGGAAAAGGGATTTCCAGAGGAAGACGGATAACCAGCCCCTTGCACCCAGCCCCGTGCGGACAGCAGCCCAAAGGAACGAATACAAAAGGAACACTCGGGAACCGTTAGCTAATCTGGGACAGGAGTGGCCAAGGGGGGTGGCGGCGTTCCTTTCCCATCAGCACCCACCGTTCCCGCAGCCCGACTGGTCTATTCGCCGCCTGAAAACCACCCTGTGCACATTCCCAGCTCTGCCCTTTGTGCTGCTGCTCTGCTCAAAGCTGCCGTTTGAAAAGACCACAGACGGGTGAATCTCAGCCCTGCTTCTTACTTGCTGCAGGACCCTGGCCTCCCTAAGCCTCGCTGTTTTCACTTGAAAAATCAAGACAATCCTGCCATCAATTCTATGAAGTGGTAATGAGCATTAGATGAGACAGCACAGTAAGTGCCCACTCTATAGTAGTAAAGATGCGCTCCCTTCCATCTCCTCCTCTGCCCCTCCCTGTCCAGTCAGCCCTCCTGTACGCCCCCTCTATGAAGCCATTCCCGATACCCAGGCCAGAGCAACCCTCTTCCTCCAAACCTCCCACTGCCAACACGAGGCTCTCATATGGAACTTAACTTCCACTTTCAGCTCACCGCCTTTTCATGGCTACATCCCAAATCCGTGACATAGGTTACAAGGTAGGTGACCATATGCTTTGTTGTTCAAACCAGGACACTTTTTGAGAAGGAAAGGGGGTTGCAATCAATGATGATGTCAGAATAAACTAAGACGGTCCTGGGCAGAGCAGGTGTATGGCAGCCCAACATATAAAGCAACATTCTCCTCCTCATTTAGGAAAGACACAGTCTCCTCACCCCATCCCCCAACAGCTGTCAGCACAAGCCAGGCAGCCTCCATTTTCTGACCATGGGGGGAGCGTTCAGAGCAAACACAGCTATACTTAGAGCATGAGGAAACCTGAGCTGCCAATGGAAGAAATACAATCTGAGAGCCACAAGTAAATATCAACTTTTTCTTTCTTAAAAAACAAAAACAAACAAACAAACAAACACACACACCCACTACTGAAATGTTATATCCTGGTGTCCACTGTGGCCTCAGTGGGGGGAGAAGAGATGGGTTCCAGGGCTGGCAAAGCAAACCACTCCCTTTCTGAAGCGGAATATGGTCTGAGGCCTACTCTACAAAATAGTTAAAGAGGGATGGCGGGGGGAGGGGGGGGAGAGACAAGGAGCCAGAGATAGAGAAGCCCTCCCAGCAGAGAAAATGGGACTAGCCCTGGCGCCAGGACTATAAATTCCTACGGATGGACAGCCACTCCCGGTCCCTGCCTCATGCCTGAGAAGTACACACAACACAGATTACCCGCAGGCTGCTGCCCGAACACCTGACCTCGAATGCAGCCCCACCCTGAAGCAAAAATTTTCCCCCACTTGGCGTAAGTGGGCATTTCTTTTAAATGGAACACACTCCTGTCATTGTGGCAGAGGCAGTAGAAAATCCCTCTGGTATCAAATGCTGAAAATATGGGACCAACAAGAGAGTTGTCTGGGTTATCAGCCATTTCTATATTACATAAAAGTAAGCATTAACTGAAACACTCAAACTTGTGTCTCTAAATCATACTTTCTTTTTATTTTTAAAGATTTTTATGGATTTTTTTATTTTTGTGGAGTTTTAAGAGAGGGAGGGAGAGAGAGAGAAACATCGATGGGTTGCCTCCTGAATGTTCCCTGACCTGGGATGGAACCCGCAACCTGGGTAGGCACCCTGACCAGGAATTGAACCTGCCACCTTTTGGTGTACGGGTGACCCTCCAACCAACTGAGCCATCCGGCCAGGGTTAACTCACACTTTCTTTACACAAGGAACAAGTGCGGCCTCTGGGGAATTAAACGGGGAGAGGAAAAAGGATCTTTTTCATTTCATATCCATATTGTATTTTAAAATGTTCACAATGTACATTTACAAATTCTGTAATTAAAAGCAATCTAAGCTACTGGTGTCCACCTGTATGTCCAGCCTCAGTTCATCCACTAACCTTCCTGGAGTCTAATTTTCTCATTTCTCCTGGCCCAGGCTAGGCTGTGTGATGACGAGAGCTCTAAGATACCACCTCACCTTCCCAAGTTCAAGGAAAAATTGAGATCTAGGTCTTGCTCCTTGAGGGATGATTGCTGGCAGAGCAAGGTCAGGATACCAGTAATATTAGAAAATTTCAGTATTTTCAGCTTCATACCACTGCAGAGGATATACTGTTAACCTGAAAAGGGAAGGGATGATCTGGAGAGTAGATGCTGTAGTAATAGGTGCATGCAATGGAATGCTACTTGGTGAGGTTTCAATTCCAAGGGCTCTTTATTACCAAATGGTGGGAAAGAGACCAGTCATTCCGGTTATTACAGGGGGAGCCGTGGGGGTGGGGGTGGGGTGGGGGATACAACTGCTTAGCACTGGGAATGGTGCCACAAAGACGCCAGATCAGTGGTGGAAATTGGAAGTAACCAAAATGAATTAATTCAAATTTGCCTCATGCATTAGAACAACTTTCCCCAAATGTGTATTTCACAAGTAATTGGTGTTAAAAGTAAACTTCACTCCTATTCTTCAGGTAAGGACATTCATTCACACCAGGAGCTGAGTCTGCAGGAGGAATCAGGTGGCTCTGGGGTTTTGTTAAAGACCAGCATCTACCGCCCAGGGGTATTTTCGGAACTTAAGATACTTAAGAAAGGAAAGCACAGCCAACCATCTGTCTAGGTTTCTGCAGGGGCGGCGCAGCCTAAAGTAGGGGGGCCAAGCGGCCTCCTGGAGCCTCTCTCCGGCCAGCTTTTGCTGCTAACTGGGGACAGCAGCCTGAGGCTGCCGGCTGGAGATTCCAGCTGGCTCAGAGTCCCCAAAATAAGCCACAAAGCATTCAAGTCATGCTTACAGCTTTGATTCCAAACACACTTTGTGTTTATCTGCCAGGCGGGTTTTTTTTTAATGTAATCTGTGTGCCTTCAGGCCAAGGAAGAAAACTGGCGGCAAAGGGGTGCAGGTTTGCTGGTCAACAGAGATATACTGTGTATGTTTATCTTAAAAACAGGAAAACAACACGACCACCTCTCGTCTAGGAGTCCGGAGTGCCGGAAAGAACCCGCCGTTCAAAGGCAATAAAGCCACGGGCACAGGTTTCCTCGGACCCCCGGGGTTCACCTGGAAGCCAGTGGGCCAAGGAGGCCCCGTGACCGTAGAACGGGAGGGTTCTAGGGTGACAAGGAGCATCTCGCGGGGCACCCCTGGCGGCGGCACAGCCCTGGACCTTTTGGCGTAACTGACCCAGGCGACAGCGTTCAGAAGCTCAGATACAGGACCAGACCCACGATTCCTCCTTCCCGCTCCCGGGGAGACCCGAGAAGCAGGGCGTCAAAAACCGGGAGCCTGGGCAGCATTTCCACTCTCAAGACTAGATTCTCACTGACCACTGCCCAGGCCCCAAGCCTGAGCAGATCCCAAGCCCCCACCCCACAATTCCCCGTTCCTTCCACAGAGACCCTCCTCAGACCCCACATCTTCGTCCTTCCTAGACCCCATGTTCCATTCCCTACGATCACAGACAGGGGTCCGTTACCTGCAGAGCAGCTCGACAACCCTGCAGGTAGTCCTCCATGGTGAAGCCCAACGTGTGCCACCGCCCCTTGCAGTGGAGAGGTTACTCGGAGAATGCGCCCCGCCCCGGACTCGGGGACTAGCGGTGAGAGTCAGGAGGCGGGACTCGAACTCGCCACACGGCGATTCGGCCCCGACGCCGGGAGGAAGTGCGTAATCCGACGCTCCGAGAGTCCGACGTCGCCCCGCCCCCAGCGGCGGAGGCGGAGTTCTACGCTCAGCGTCTCACGGGACACCTTTCCGGAGGCGCCAAGTGGGACCTGGCGCAGGGCGTCTTGGGAAATGTAGTCCAGAAGCTCCGAAATGGCCCCAAGAATTGAGGGGAGGAGAATTTTCTCTGAGATCACTCATTTGACACGCAGCGTATATGTGTCACAGTAACCTATCTTTGTGACATCCGAACTTTCCCTTTCGAGTCAAACTAAGGATAGTACATCTTTCCATCTATTACACCGAGCCTCTGGTTGACATCTTAAATGACACGTGGCAAAACAGCTCTTCTTCATCTTCCTTTCTCGAATTCTCTCCCTTTAGCAAGCTGACCCATTGTCACCAACGTTGGGATTGTCCATTTTATAAAAACATTAGAATAATCTTTGGGGCCTCTTCTTAATGCCTACAATTTCTTGCCAACTCCTGCTGCTTCTTTCTTTACAACTCTGTGGCCTGTTTCTAATCGTCTCTGAAATGTCTCCTCATTCTTCTCCTGAACTGTTATAACCTGTGTTCTTTGCTCCCTGCCTCCCTAATTGTTTCAACCGCCCTTTCAGCCTTCAGAGTTGCTTGAGGTTTCATCCTATGGCAACCCTGTAAGTAGAGTACTGAGTTTGGAGGACCCTTCAGAATGTAGGGTTAGGTCCCAACCTCCTTTAACTGCCACCTTCCAGCCCCCGACAGCCGTCCCGAGTGCTGCACATAAATGTATTCTCATCACCAAATGTTCCCTCCTTTCTTAACCCATCCCTTTATCTCCTGCCACCAGACTGACACCGGCTTCTCCCGCTCCCCACGCTAGGAACTGAGAGGAGGCGGCTGGTGTAAGTGGAGGCCTGTGGTGGGACCCAGGAACAGAGCCCCGGGATATTGGATCTCCTGCTGGCTCAGCTACTTCTCTCCCTGCTGCACTCTCCTTCCCACAGCCTGGGCTTTCTTCCACACCTCCTTCGGCACTACCGGGGACATAGCCCAGCCAGCTTCATTTCTAGACTGAAAAGGTGATAGAGTGAGGACTTGGAAAGGAGCAGGATTTTTAAAAATTTAAATGACTGAACATGCAAAATATCTTGCTCTTTGGCCCTGCTTCTGTGGATCCAGAGCAAAGGACTGCTTTACCCGGGGAGAAAGCCCAAATCCAACACGCTGCTGCTGTCCAGCCCTGCTCCTCCCCACTCAGCGAGGGCACTTGCTCTTCCCTGTTCTCACCAGAGAGGCACAAGCGCTCCGTCCCTTCCAGCGGCAGGCGGAGGCAGGAGCAAGGGTCTGTTGTTTTTCTCTCCTTGTTTCTCTCTCCCTCCCTGCTGATCACCAAGCTGCTGACCGGGTCAGAAAGCCCTGATGGAACCCCTCCGGTGCTGGGCAGGCCCCTCCTCCTCCAAGGAGCCTGTCCTTGACTAATTTTTCTTTGTCCCGATGGGAAGAAAAGAGCGAGAGAGAAAGACGAAACAAGAAAAACCTCAAACTTCCTTTGAAAACCAGCTTGGAGTCAGGGCCTGAACCGCACATTGACACTCGGCAACTCGGGAATCGTGAAGACACGCGTGGAGCCACGGGGGAGCACCTGGGCTGCACCCCTACCTGCCCTCGCCCTCCTCCTGTGCCCTGGGTCCTGGGCGTGAGTCCGGAAGTGGCCAGGACCCAGCAGGACCGCCCCTGGCTCATAAACCTGTGTGAGCTCTGGCGTTGACAGCTGGAAGGCAGCTGGGACTGTGGCGGCGCCCTCATCGGATTGTCGGAGCTGAGCCCTCCTTCTCAGTCCTGGAACAGCCTTCTTTAAGGTAAAAACTTTGTTTTATCCGCATCCTTCAGCTTCTCTTCGACTCCCAGTTCTGTTTTCCCCTCCAGCTCGGGGGAGGTGACACTGACTGTCCTTCCACTCTGGTCTCTACAGGTCTGGGTTGGGAGAGAGGAGTGAGGCAGGGAGAACATGTCAAAGGGATGCTGCTGGCTTCCTTATTTATTTTTCTTTTAATGAAACCTTCCCCCTCTCCATGGAGAGCGAGCACGGTGGTGGTGGTTGACTTACTCCGAGGGGAAATTTTAAACCATTAGTTGCTTGAAGATTTGGGTCAGACTGAGAAAGGATATCGGAGTGGGACAGTAAGGGACATGCAGGGAGAGGGAAGTTCCTGGGATGGGGTAGGAGGGTGAGTGTCTTCTGGAAGCTCCCCACCCATTTTATAAGCTTCTTCCAACTTTTGGCTACTGACTCCACGGGTAGGGAGGGGCCAGGGCTATTTCCTGCTGGAGAGAACAGGAAGGACTTGAGTGGAGAAAAGAGGAAAAGAATGGAATCCTGATTTGTTTGGGTACCCCCTCCCCCATCCTCTCCTGCTCGGAAATACTCCATGCCCACCCCGCCAGGTGTGCACCTTACGGAGTGGGAGTCCTCACCCCATTTCCTGCCCCGCCTCTTAGGGCTTAGCCCACTTGCTTTGTCCGGTTTTTCTGTGACCCAGCTCCCTCACGTGTCCAGCTCCCGGTGTGTTTGGGCTCATCCCCTTAGCCAACTCGCTGCCCAACCCCCACTTAATTATTGATCTGGCATTGGACAGAAAAGATGAAGGAGCCCAGCGTTTCTCCATGCTTTTTAAACTTCCCCAGGCTTGGTCCCTGCTTCCCAGGCTCATCCGAAGTGTCATCCGGGAAGGGAGGAAAGAAGGAGAGAGAAAAACGAAGTGTCAGGCCTGTAGGCATTTTTCCCCCCTGCTCTAAATGAACAACAGGCAGATGAGATACAGCTCGCATAAATTATGTTTGAGTCAGGAGGACGATCCATGTGGGTGACTAGGCTTATTTTGTGAATTTTTATGCTCCTCATCTTCATCTTCCAGGCCTTACTCACCCTTCCCCTAAATTCCTGCAGGATTGCAAGAAGAAAGCATAGTCTCAAATTAGGAAGAAGCCAAAGAGAAGATTTCTGACAAGTTTAATTTCTTTCTTTCTTTCTTTTTTAAAAAATCTATTGAGTTTAGGGAGCAAGAGGAAGGGAGAAGGGAGAGTGAGAGAGGGGGAGATAGATAAACATCAATTTGTTGTTCCACTTAATTATGCATCCATTGGTGGATTCTTGTATGTGCCCTGACTGGGCCTTGAACCCCAAAACATATTGGGAGCGTGCTACCCAACTGAGCTACCCAGCTAGGACAAGTTTCATTTCTCACCTTTTTTTTACCCTGAGTCAGGGGTGAGGGGAGCATGTTTTCCAGAAGGCAAAGTTTGTGGCTTTTTATTGTTTATGATCCACAGCAGTAATTAAATGTCTGTTCCTGCTGAACTTGATGCTTAGTGCTGATAGAGAGCAGGTAAAACAGGTCCAGTGCTCACATCTAAAATGGCCTAGATGGGGAATAGACAGAACATGTGCACACATC